GAGAGAGGGAGAGAGGTTGCCATGCTGCAGTTTTAACATGAATACCACAATCAGACACTGTAAACTGACTACGAGCCGGTCAGTCCTTGTTTTAGCCCCTAAGTGTCTAGCGGCAGGCAGGGTAACAACAAGTACCATCTTTTAACGTCTTCTGATATATGACGCGGCAAGGGAATGGAGCACCCAACATTTCGCTCTTCAGGCAATATCACGACGGGGACTCCTGAAATACTTCAACATTGTTGGGAATCGAACCCGAATTCGATGTAAATGACCTACATATACAGAGCATCATTGTCTTGTATTGAAAATGCATTTTGTTCAAAGTTATGGACCAAAACACGAGACCAAATACCGAGGATGTCCATGTGTTAGTTATAAATAAATGCGCCAAGATAATTTCCATGATCAAAAGAACTCTCTGCTAAAAGCAGAGTCCATTGCACGATTCCGAATATATCATAAGCATGTATTTCAGAATCGGGTGTGCGCGAAACTGTGAGCGTATCGTGCTCCAATTTGGCACCCATCACAAACACATGCAAGGGCAAGTCAGTTTTTCACCAGAAAAAAAATCAAAATAGGGTATTGCATCGGACATTATTTTGGTCATTGATGCGTCAACAAAGCATGCCCGGTGTGGCAATACATGTGACCAGAATTGGAATTGTGGCCCTTTAAACGAAAACCAATACCTATTGAGCAGACAAATAACCTATACAGACCCACCAGTCGAACGCTAGAGAGTTGAGACAGAATAACTTCCCGGTACTCCAAATCGGAAAAAAACAATGTTTGTTAGTTTTGTTTGTTGTTTTACGCCGCAGTCAGAAATATTCCAGCATTATCGCTGTGGTCTGTGAGTGAGTGAGTTGGGTATAACGCTGCTTTTAACATTATTCCAGTTATATCACGGCGTGTCAGCTTAATGTGGGAGGAACGCTCGAAGTGATGCATGCCTCAGACGTTTACCACTTCGGTGAAAACCACGAGCACGGGTATGGTGCTGACCTAGAAACCTAGAAACATAATTGGGGCGAACCGGGTTTCGAACCCTCAATCATAGGTTTCTGGCGTGCCAATGGGACTCAACTCGGCAAAGCGAATCGCGGCGACTTAGACGAATGGCTCACCCGTGCCCCCTCTGTGGTCTGTAAATAGCCAGAAAAACCAGGGGGGGGGGGGGGGGGGGGTTATATGTTGAGCAACGGTTGACATCGTCGCACCGAGCCTGACCACTTGACTCACTTGGTGTTTATGACGGGTCCCACCTGTATGGCAGGATACGCTCACCTTTTCGCGAACGCCATCTTCACAATTTGATACATTTGAATATAAAAAGGGTTTCGTCGCTTTTATTTGTACGACAAGTTTATGTTGTTTGGCGCATATTGTAATCCGAAATGCACGCATGGTGAACTTGGTTAGAATTTAGACAGGTGCCATCTATGAGGTAATCATCTGCCACCTGTAACACAGTATCACTTAGAGTGAGTGAGTTGGGTTTAACGCCGCTTTTAACAGTATTCCAGTTACAATACGGCGTGTCGGCTACGTGGGAGGAAAGCCCGAAGGGATGCAGGTCAGACGTTTACCACTTCGGTGAAACCCACGAGCACGGGTATGGTGCTGACAAACCTAGAAACATAATCGGGGTGAACCGGGAATCGAACCCAAAGGGACGCAACTCTGCACAGCGAATCGCGGCGGTATCACTTAGAAGTTGAGGGGAGTCGAATAGTTCATCTTTGCAGGTAGCAGCATTTGGGGGAGCATGGTTTCACGCCACTTTCGGCAATATCACGGGGGACACAAGAAATGGCATTCATACATTGTACTCATGTGGGGAATCGACCCCGGGTTTTCAACGTGAAGAGCGAACGCTTTAACCACTAGGCTATCCATTTTATGTCATATTTCGGGCGTTAGTTTGTGACCTGGCGTATTGTATCACATCGTTCCGCGAGGTTGGTTCACTATTGTTCAATCACAGGTTCGTATTTGGGACTGGGGTAGAGGGGATTATGCTTCATTTCTGGTGTCCCCCGCCGTGACAGTGCTGGTCTATTGCTGAAAGCGGCGTAAATCCATACTCACTCACTCACTCAGACTGTTGGAAAACAATCAATTGTCTGCCACAAAAATTAGATTGTGGTAAGGTGTTATTTGTCTAAAAAATATTTTGACTCAAGTTGCAATTTTTTAAAAACAACTGTTTTTGCATCTGAAGCTGAAAAAAAAATCAATTCTCCAAACAAACAAAAACAAACCCGAATGTCAAATGGCTGATCCCTAACACTGATCAGATTACTGACACGATGTTCGGGGACATACATAATGCATTACCAAACTATCCTCCACCAGTGTGAAGTGAAGCGTTCAGCCTTCAAGCGTGCTGATTTGTAATGTTGTATGTCCGACAGCACGTCTCCATCCTGAATTAATCAGGGTATCATATTTCCATTCTAGAATGACAAGTATCCTGGACCCATACTCTCCTGTAGCTTCGTTTTCAGTTTGTCATACAGTCCCTGCAACAAATGTATCCATTACAGCCCAAGCCAGTCTATAATAGACGGCAAGTCTAGATTACTGCAGTTTCTCACCCGTGAAGATACGGGATAGAATAGGTCTTCAGCAACCAATGCCGTAAAAAGCGACTCTGCTTGTCGTAAGAGGCGATTGACGGGATCGGGTGGTCAGGCTCGCTGACTTGGTTGATACATGTCATCGTATCCCATTTGCGTGATCGATGCTCATGATGTCAATCACTGGCTTGTCTGGTCCATACTCGATTATGGACAGACCGCCGTCATACAGCTGGAATATTGCTGAGTGCGGTGTAAACAACAAACGAACAAACATGCTGCTTTACTGCCATTTAAGGAGTCAAAAGGAAAGTCGCCCTTCAAATTTTCTTTCCCTTTCAAACTGATATGCACCTCTTATAGGACATAGCAATAACCAGAGATTTCACCACAAAGTTTTCAAAGGACACAAGCAGAAAATTAAGACTTTTCAACATTCAATTTTCACATATTTTGAAAATCTATGGGGTCCAACTTCAGCCTAACAACAAATCATTCAAAGTCTGCCAAAGGAAACACATTGATGTTGAGTCATGTTCTTCTAAGGGATCACTATTGAATTACAAAATGACGATTATCATACATCTGTTTGCCAAAAGATTGGTTGACCTCACTGCTAAAACAAAAGGGTTAACGTTCGTCCGTTATTAAATATTACCCATAAATTTGACCAAAGCTTTTGCACAGCCTGATTAGATGTTCATATGCTATCGCTATGTCTACTCCTACAAACATAGCAGAAAGTATGTGAAGATGAAGTAATCTAATGCCCCTGCCCAAGTTTGACCACACACTGCTGTGTCCTGCTTACAGCTGCTGCCTTTCAACCCACATTGGACAGGAGGTCAATTTTGTCCAGATTGTAGATTTGTCAGAGGAAAATAATATGATTGTGATTCAAACTTGGTTCCTCTTATACTGGCTTGGCACCAGATTTGTTAAGAGTTATATGATTCTGCCCTGTGTCCAGCTGGGCAATGGTTGAGGAACTCTGGAATGTCAGCTGACCATGTTCCTGATCTGGCGGATGTACAACAAACAATATCCTTCAAGATGTGGTCATATTCTGCGTATTGCATTTGAGAATATCAAGGAAGGGAGAACTATGTTAGATAACGAATACCCCACAGTTCGGTTTAGCTCGGGGATTTGATGAGTAGGCAAGTAATCTGTGGAATGGCGGTAATAAAGTAAGGTGGAATAAATCTACTGCTAATTTCACCGAGCTGGAATAAATCTATAGACGTGGAAATAATACCCTATCAATGACACAGTTACCTCAGTGCGACATTTAACAAGGAACCCTCTGGGAAGTAGTTCGTACAGAGTTACACAAATTATAGCTGTTACTTTATCTGTTCCTTTTGGATACATGGGTATTGGGAACGATATCAGTTAATTCCCTCCTCGTGCTGGAAAACGCGGTTAAATGGGTATCGGTTGGCCACAATGAGTGCTCTGTGTGGACAATATTCTGTTGTCAATCACTCAATATAATTTATTCAGAATGAAGGCCTCTCAGCCCATAATTCTCAGTATAAGCAGTTTATGTCATAAATAATTACACATTATCCTAATTGCCATTACAAATGCGTATAAACAGAATACAACATACTGTAAACTACGGTTATAACGAACTCAAAGGGACCACCCATTGTAATTCGAAATATCCGTAGTTCGTTATAAGCATATATACAGCATATACAACAAATGGCCATGACTAAAAAATAAGTTCGTAATATCGGTCAGTTCGTTATAAGCGTGTTCGTTACAAACGTAGTTTCATGTACTGCTTACCTCTCGGGGGAATATTCTGTTGTTGTTGTCACATAAGTAAACTGTTTGCTATTTGTACTGGCGTTTCTTGTTCATGTGATCAGTCAAACAAAAATGCCACAAATAATTGTAGATATATATTAACTTAAAATAATTAACGTGTCCTGTGAGGATTCATCACAAAACGACCTGTGTGATGGATGGACGATCAACCTCCTTTCCGCTGTCGATTGTAATATACACATCAAGAGTAGACATAAACCAGACATTAACTAAACATATAAACTGCCGGACAAAAAAAAGTATACAAACGTTCCTTGGTTGAAAACAGTCGCTGAAACACCGCAAATTTTAGGTCTAAAACACAACTGTGATTCCCGCATCAAATACATCACCATCGAATGACCATTTCTTGTTTGTTTCATTTTTTGTCACCATCAAACATAGTTGTGTACTTTCTCTTGGCCGGCAGTTTAGTCACCATCAAACATAGTTGTGTACTTTCTCTTGGCCGGCAGTTTAGTCACCATCAAACATAGTTGTGTACTTTCTTTTGGCCGGCAGTTTATATATTTTGTGTATGTCTGGTGGTGTATGTCTCTTAAATATAACGAACGATAAAGTGGTCGTACCTACCTTCGGGTAATTTCCCTCTGTTTAAACCAACGCCGTTGAAGTCCCCTCAGTCTGACCCGATGTCTGAACACCGTGTCGATTATGTGAGATCTCGAGCTACCCGAGTGTGTTGAATATCTGACGCTCGCGACGCGACCCGTGTTTGACCCGGCATCATTGTGTCTTCTGTCATTTGAATGTGGCATTATATGAAAGGGACGAGGGGGTACAGAAAAGAAGTGGAGCTGATGGGGGTCATATGCAACGGTGAGGTGAGGTAAAATGGGGTTAAAGTTGCTTTCAAGATTACTGCACTTTTGCAAGCCCTCTCCGGGCGGGCGCTCAACCACGAGGCCATGGAGGCGGCCCATATGCAACCGAATATAAACAACTCTAACATGTAACATAATCATGTAAACTACATGTTCTTTTACTTTACTTAAACTTATGTATATACATCTCGAGGCGAGGTGCGGGGTTTAACGTCGCGTCCAAGAGGTGTGTGTGCTTGCTAGTACATGTAGAGTTTACAGTGCTAGCCCACCGAGATACCACATAGCAGTTTAACATGGATACCCCACTCAGAAACAGTATGCAAACTCCGAGCCGCCCAGTCCTTGTTTTATCCTTGTTTTATCCTTGTTTTATCGCCTTGGAGTAACAACAAGTACCACCTTTTAACCTTTGTGGGCGTGACACGGGGATCGAACCACCGACCGTCCGTCCTCCAGGCTGACACTTTATCCACTGCACCACTGAGACTGTATACATTTCTGGAAAAAACAATATAGTTCTTCAAAATCGAATCCTGTATTCATTTTGGGACGAATCACCAGTACTGGAGGAACATACTGTTTTCTTGTGTAGTTTTTAGTGAGTATCGGTGGTATTTAAGACATTTATCATGATGTTTGTTTGTTATTTAACGCCGGACACAGCAATATTCCAGCTATTTGACAGCGGTCTGTAAAGAATCGAATCTGGACCAGACAATCCAGTGATTGACATCAAGAGCATCGATCTACTCAATTGGAATACAACCAAGTGAGCTAGGCTGACCACACGATTCCGTTAGTCGCCTCTTACGTCAAGCATAGGTTGCTGAAGACCTATTCTAACCCGGATCTCCACGGGGACATTTATCATAATGAGACCAGGGTCATATGTAAATGTGTCCAGCATTTTTCTAATTGCACAATCCTAAAGATCTCACTGTGGGTGTTGACCTACGTGTTAATGCACAGTGCGTGCAAAAAGCCTGATCTGATGGATCAACCTGTATCATTCTCATAACATAACAATTTAATGAATGAGTCTGGTTTAACGCCGCTTTGAACAGTACTCCGGTTATAACACAGCGTGTCAGCTTAATGTGGGAGGGAAGCCCGAAGTGATATAAGGCTACAAGGCTTAACCCACTGTTCTACGCACGCACATATACCCACATCAGTGTACACGGTTGTCACCTGAACAAAATACGTGTAACGGGGCAATCATACATTGTAACAGGGCAACCATACATTGTTACAGGGCAATCATACATTGTTACAGGGCAAACATACATTGTAACAGAGCAAACATACATTGTAACAGGGCAAACAAACATTGTAACAGGGCAACCATTCATTGTAACAGGGCAAACATACATTGTTACAGAGCAAACATTCATTGTAACAGGGCAAACATACATTGTAACAGGGCAAACATACATTGTAACAGGACAACCATACATTGTAACAGAGCAAACATACATTGTTACAGGGCAAACATACATTGTAACAGGGCAACCATTTATTGTAACAGGGCAAACATACAATGTTACAGGGCAAACATTCATTGTAACAGGGCAAACATACATTGTAACAGGGCGAACATTGTAACAGGGCAAACATACATTGTAACAGGGCAAACATACATTGTAACAGGGCAAACATACATTGTAACAGGGCAAACATACATTGTTACGGGGCAAACATACATTGTAACAGGGCAAACATACATTGTTACGGGGCAAACATACATTGTAACAGGGCAACCATACATTGTAACAGGGCAACCATACATTGTAACAGGGCTACCATACATTGTAACAGGGCAAACATACATTGTTACGGGGCAAACATACATTGTAACAGAGCAAACATCAATTGTAACAGGGCAACCATACATGGTAACAGGGCAACCATACATTGTAACAGGGCAACCATACATTGTAACAGGGCAACCATACATTGTAACAGGGCAAACAAACATTGTAACAGGGCAACCATACATTGTTACAGGGCAAACATACATTGTAACAGAGCAAACATACATTGTAACAGGACAACCATACATTGTAACAGGGCAAACAAACATTGTAACAGGGCAAACATACATTGTAACCGGGCAAACATACATTGTAACAGGGCAACCACACTTTGACGAAGGTCACAAACACGGACATTACAATTCTGTTTCAGGGGAATATGTATGTACAGACACACATGATAACGTAAAGTGGATTATATCAATTGTCTGACAGGTGCATGAGTGGAAAGTTGAAAGAAACTAAAGTGTTAAGAGTGTGATGATATAAGATTTTTAGGTTTTATGTGACTCTTAAAGCTGTGAGTGTGTGTTTGTCGCTCTGCTAAGCGTGAGTAACCGGGGCGTTATTGAAGGATGGGGTGGATCTATGGGTGAGTGGGTTTCAGCCGTTTACAGGTAACAGGCAGTTTGTAAGAAACATATTGTGGGATCAGCTTACATGATGCCTGTTGACCACCACACTCTCACTGGAAGCCGGCTCAGAAGCGGATTACCAGTCGTCTGAAGCGTCGCCATTCATGATTCGCCTTTTATTATTATTATTGCTTCGTCCGCACTATACCCTTGCTCCTGGGTGCTTTTGTATAATTATACAATACATTTGGCCAGGGGTCCGCTGCTTCTGTTTAACCATACAATTCACTACTCGAAGGGGCACTTGCTTTAGTCTCATACAAAACACTACTTGAAGGGGCACTTGCTTTAGTCTCACACTACACTACTCGAAGGGGCACTTGCTTTAGTCTCACACAATACACAACTCGAAGGGGCACTTGCTTTAGTCTCACACTACACTACTTGAAGGGGCACATGCTTTAGTCTCATACAATACACTACTTGAAGGGGCACTTGCTTTAGTCTCACACTACACTACTCGAAGGGGCACATGCTTTAGTCTCATACAAAACACTACTTGAAGGGGCACTTGCTTTAGTCTCACACTACACTACTCGAAGGGGCACATGCTTTAGTCTCATACAAAACACTACTTGAAGGGGCACTTGCTTTAGTCTCACACTACACTACTCGAAGGGGCACATGCTTTAGTCTCATACAATACACTACTTGAAGGGGCGCTTGCTTTAGTCTCACACTACACTACTCGAAGGGGCACATGCTTTAGTCTCATACAATACACTACTTGAAGGGGCGCTTGCTTTAGTCTCACACTACACTACTCGAAGCGGCACATGCTTTAGTCTCAAACAAAACACTACTTGAAGGGGCACTTGCTTTAGTCTCATACAATACACTACTTGAAGGGGCACTTGCTTTAGTCTCATACAATACACTACTTGAAGGGGCACTTGCTTTAGTCTCATACAATACACAACTCGAAGGGGCACTTGCTTTAGTCTCACACTACACTACTCGAAGGGGCACTTGCTTTAGTCTCACACAATACACAACTCGAAGGGGCACTTGCTTTAGTCTCACACTACACTACTTGAAGGGGCACTTGCTTTAGTCTCATACAATACACTACTTGAAGGGGCACTTGCTTTAGTCTCACACTACACTACTCGAAGGGGCACATGCTTTAGTCTCATACAAAACACTACTTGAAGGGGCACTTGCTTTAGTCTCACACTACACTACTCGAAGGGGCACATGCTTTAGTCTCATACAAAACACTACTTGAAGGGGCACTTGCTTTAGTCTCACACTACACTACTCGAAGGGGCACATGCTTTAGTCTCATACAATACACTACTTGAAGGGGCGCTTGCTTTAGTCTCACACTACACTACTCGAAGGGGCACATGCTTTAGTCTCATACAATACACTACTTGAAGGGGCGCTTGCTTTAGTCTCACACTACACTACTCGAAGGGGCACATGCTTTAGTCTCATACAAAACACTACTTGAAGGGGCACTTGCTTTAGTCTCATACAATACACTACTTGAAGGGGCACTTGCTTTAGTCTCATACAATACACTACTTGAAGGGGCACTTGCTTTAGTCTCATACAATACACAACTCGAAGGGGCACTTGCTTTAGTCTCACACTACACTACTCGAAGGGGCACTTGCTTTAGTCTCACACAATACACAACTCGAAGGGGCACTTGCTTTTGTCTCATACAATACACCACTTGAAGGGGCACTTGCTTTTGACTCATACAATACATTACACGAAGGGGCACTTGCTTTAGTCTCATCATACAATACACAACTCGAAGGGGCGCTTGCTTTAGTCTCACACTACACTACTCGAAGGGGCACTTGCTTTAGTCTCATCATACAATACACAACTCGAAGGGACAACTGCTGAAATTTAATGATACAATACACTAGTCCAAGGCGGCACATGCTATATGTTATCCATACAATATTCCTCGGGGCACCTGCTATAGTTTTGTCATACAATACCAACAGCATACGGCGTGAGTCTCGTGATATTCAATCGATTATCAAGCTCTCAAGTCAAGATCCAATCGTAAATGCTAAAGACAAATTTGGAGGAAAATATTGTTTAGGTGTGATGCCTTTTCCTTTCTGCATGTCTAGAAATAGTTTTTTTCTGAGTTGGAAAACTATAAAACGTCATACACTTCTGAGGTGGTTCGCCCCATGAACCTGGCCCTCAAGCCCTGAACAAAAATAGGATTGAAGTGAGTGCGTGATTGAGTGACTATGGTTTTATGCCGTTTCAAGCAATATTTCAACAAACACAACGGGGGACAACATCCATTGTAACATTGGAAGCTCTGCTGAGCTGGTTCAGTGTCGTGGACTTAGAGGGGGATAATTGCGTACAACAAATCAAGAGTTATCTCCCTTTTACCCTTAGCCGAGCGCGTGACACCTTCGTTTCTCATCTGATAGCATCGCTGCCACGAAGGTTGTTGGGGCCTTCGTCAGAT